CAGCCTCGAGTCCCCAACTTCAACGTTAAATTTTCGAGAAAATGCATTAGCTAGTGGGTTTAAACTCGAGTCCCCAACTTCAACGTTAAATTTTCGAGAAAATGCATTAGCTAGTGGGTTTAAACAGGAGAATACATTAATCATTCCTCAGCTTCAATTCACCCCTAGCAATAATAATACTGCAAGCAAAGGGGAAACGATTAATGAAGAAAATGAATGGAAATGCATGGAGCAAGCGAAAGAAACATTAATGGGTAGCTCAGTGACAGTGCATGGAACGGGTACGTATGACATCACTACTGATAACAATAATACATGGGTCATGGATACATTTATGGAAGCAAATTTAAATGTTAATGGGATTAATATTGCGAACGGACTTTCTGATATTATGGTTTATAACGCCTCTGTTGATCATCACAACTTATCATCAATGGCCGAAGGAAATGCTACAAGGGATGGGAGTACTATTTATCTTGATCAAGATCAGAGGTTTTATTGGAATAGCTTACTTGATTTGGTGGATGCTCCGGGGCTTCCTCCGGTTCACAGGTGTTTTGAATAAGGATGAAGCTAATATGAAGGGCAAAAGAATAAAATTTTGAATCAATGTAGTAGTTTATTGCAAAATGCAGTACTATTATTATATGTTATTTTGCATGTAATGTATTAGGTGTGGCATTATATCACCTTGAAAATGAAGCGATCGTGCGCAAATCAATAAATTTATCCCTGTGATTTTTAAAAATATTTTTTGATATTCGAAATTTCACGAGAAACCTAATATATCCTTAAAATTACGAATTTTGGTGTACCCTTCTCCATCTTAGGTATTGCAAAATGAATGAAAAAAATAAAATGAATATATATCTATATATTTTAGCTCAATCAGTTTGGAAGCCATTAGCATTTAAACCTGGAAAAGATACACCTACTTCGAGCAAGTTGGAATTTAGAACTAGAGGGGCTAATAAAATTTTTTCCAAAGCTAGGAGGGTGAAAGTGAAGACACCAATGGGATTTAAAGCTAATTAGTATTATACTGAGATTCTTTATAGAAATTTTTATACCTATAATAATTGGCAAACATTTTTTATTGTTTTTTAATTAAAAAAATTGCTATTCTAAATTTAAAACTTAATAACGAAATAAAAATATTTAATTCTAAATTTTGATTAGTTTAATTCAAATTCAACATCAATAACAAATCAAATTGAATTTTTATATTATACATTTATTATATAATTTTTTATTTTACTTTTTATTCAATTTGGTTTCCTAAATTTGTATAGAAGAATTAAAAAGATTCAACTTTTTTTTTCAGCCAGTTTAGTTCCTCAATTTACTTAGAATGATTAAAAAAAATCATTCAGAGTCAATTTATTCTTTCACCTTGTTTTGATTCGTGCAAATCAATAAATTAATTTAAGTCAATATGGTTAACTTTTATCCGTTCTTATTTTTCACGAAAGACACTCAAATCAAACTTTTCTAACACTTCTAAATAGAAGTTTAAAATCCATAGAAGCATTATTTCTTCTAAATATATTGTATGGTTTTCAGCTATTCAACATGAGAAATGCATAGATTTCATATGTAATAAACTCACTAATAAATGTTAGTTTTAATATATTCAAATTAATACATATTTATGAGCTTAGAATCATCTGTCCATGTACAAAGGAATATTGTGCACTAAATATATCATTTTCTTCTATTCCATTTTTAATTAATTTTTTAAAAAATTATACGGTCTAATTCCAAACTATAATTTCAATAAATGTCGATATAAGAATGTCCACATTGCAAACACAATAAAGAATCGGGGCTCAATTGATCTAAAAGGTTAAACTGTTTTTTTAACCATCCTAAACAAATTCAGGATTAAATTTATCGAAAATACAAATTTAAGGAGGGTGTATTGGATTAAGAGTTTGTTAGATTTTAAAAGATTTTAAAATTTCAATGGTATTCAATCTAGATTCTTTTAGAGTCTATTAAAATTTTGTGGTATTCAATTCAAACTCTTATAAAATTCAAATTCAAACTCTTATAAATCCATTGATGGTATTCTAATTATGACTTTTTGAAAGTCCATACAGAATTTTAATGGTATTCAAAATATTTGCTTGATTTGGAAGAAGTTCAATAAAATTATTGATTTCGTTGGATTTTAGAAGTATATTATGAAATAAAAAGAGTCATTCACAAATCCATCCTTTAACCCCAAAAATTTTTAAAAATCTTTTAAAAATCTAACAAATTCTTGATCCAATACACCCCTTAATAGAACGGAAGAAGATTTTAAAATTTCAATGGTATTCAATCTAGATTCTTTTAGAGTCTATTAAAATTTTGTGGTATTCAATTCAAACTCTTATAAAATCCATATGATGGTATTTAATTATGACTTTTTAAAAGTCCATACAAATTTAATGGTATTCAAAAAATTGCTGATTTGGAAGAATTCAATAAAATTATTGATTTCGTTGGATTTTAGAGTATTATGTATGAATAAAAGAGTCATTCACAAATCCATCCTTTAACCCAAAAATTTTAAAAATCTTTTAAAATCTAACAAATTCTTGATCCAATACACCCCTTAATAGAACGGAAGCAGAGTAGGTAAAGCGAATTTTAAACTACCTATATATGTATCCATTTAAAATTTTAGTATCCGTATCTGTTCTAAATCCGTTTAAATATCTATTTAAGTACTCATATTCAAACCTGTGTAAATATTTACTACTTGTATTCGTCCAAAAAGTCATTGAAAGTATCTCTTAAACGAGTAGAGTCCACAAATCTTTAACTATCCAAATTTCAAACTTATTTAAAATATATTTTTTACTAATAATGAATAGGGAACCCACTACCGAACACTTTTAATATAGCGGTTAACGGGAGCGGGATGGCCGTCGCCAACGCTGGCCATTGCAGGCCTTTCCCTGTCGGTAGAGATAAGTTTTTAACAAAGAAAAAAATGATTTTAGAGAAGATGATGCATTTTACTTTTTAGTCCCTCATTGTTTTTCAATTTTTCATTTGGCTCTAAAACATTTTAATTTGTTAAATTAGGTCCTAAAATTAATTTTAATTTAATATACAAAAATCATTGTGACTCCATTAAAGTCAATCAAAATCTATAAAGAAAATCCAACCAATTCCATAAAACTGTATGCAAAATTCTAGTGGAATCCGTGGAAATTTTTAGGAAATTTTTCAATTTCGTCAAACTCAATAATTCTTTTAAAATCTAACACAATTCTAATACAATAGACCCCCTAAACCTTTTTAATCCCTATAAACAATACTTCATCAACTGAACAATGTCTCAAAATGCTGCTTTATCCTATGCTTAATTTGTTCTTTTTAGCACGGGACAATTTAAATTAAAGTCAACATAAAGTTTTGTATATAACGAGCACGGTGTGCAGCGGGTGGAACCGAACCGAAAATCGAAAATAATTTTTTTTTTAAATCGAATCAGATCAAAGTAAATTTAGAAATTAAATTAAATCGATTGATTTGGTCCAATACACATCGTATCGATCAAACAGTTTAATTTAATTTAGAAAATAAATATTTTAGAATAACTAATTTAAAAATTGAAAATCAAAATTACAGAAGATTAAAATCAAAACCAAAACCGAAAATCAAAAATCAAACTAAAAATAAAACATAATCCAATTTAGTTCGGTTTTTCAGTTTTTTCCAAAGTTTAATGAACCCTAATAATAACGAGGACATACAGTTCAAAAACGGTACTATACAACGAGGATATGTACTAAATGTATGTCCATATCTCATAAAAAATTTGATATATACTAGAGCATGAACATATTGGCGTTGCAAATATCAATATGTCTATGTCTGCAAATGGGGAGCATACTGGTGTTGCATGTGCAAATTTAATATTGACTGAAGACACCAGTTGATTTTTTTTCTTTTTTGAAAGGGACACCAGTTGATTTTTTTTATTTTTTTTTTTTGAAAGCTAATTTAAAGCTAATTTTATTGTACTGGGATTCTTCATAGAAATTTTTATAACTATAATAATTGGCAAATATTTTATTTTTTTTAATTAAAAAATTTGCTATATCTCAATTTAAAAGGTTAATAACGAAATAAAAATATTTAACTTAAAATTTTGATTAATTTAATTCAAATTAAGTATCAATAACAAATCAAATTGGATTCTTATATTATACATTTATTATATTTAACATATACCACATTTAGCATACTGTATAATTTTTTATTTTACTTTTTAGCCAATAAAATTTAGATTTAAAACTAAAAATCAATACAACTCAAATAGAATTTTAATATTATATTCTTACCGTATTTAATATGTAATGTAATTTTTTATTTTATTTTTTAGCGAATATAATTTAGATCTAATAAAAAAAAACAGTATCCAATCAAATTAAATTACTTTTAAAAATATTGTTGTCAATCCATAATTTTAATAGAGTTATTTTTGATAATCCATCAATGTTCTCCTTGCATTATAGGTTTATATATCATCATTATATATATATATAAATTTATCCTTTTACTTTGAAATATTGAAACAAATTAATGAATCTTTTTTAACCTAGGTTGGCATATATGACATTTGTTTTGCCAATAGTTAAAAAATAAAAAATTAAGATTAGGATTTAGATTACCACAATAACAAGGTGCTAAATTACAAAATAAAACAGACCTTATATTTGAAATTGGACCCTACTTTTACTCCTACAATTTCTCAGTATTATGTGTTTTGTTTGATGGATTCTATGCTTTGATTACCATGAAAACATGTGAGAAAATTAGCTACAACATATGAATTCTGTTGGTCAATTGAATTAGTCAGTGTTAGTGATTTTTTCTCTTACTGAAAGGACTTAATCTGTGGTAATAAATAATACTAAACTAAACTAATTTTCTTTTTTTGGACAAAATTTTCTAGTTTTCAGGAAAGTAGTTGAAAGTAACATTGCAAATTGGAGTTATTTTGTTGAAGCCCAACATGGCTCTTTCATTGCTCCATTTCATGTTTCTTGCTTGAAGTTTTTACACAGAAAGTGAGGAAGAGAATCCATACACAAAACACTGAGATATTTGCGAAGAAATGATGACTATTGGCAGCTCTTTTCCCATTGTGCGTGCAGGCACCGGTTACAATCCTTTAGTCCAAGAAATTCAGGTCTAAAACTATATTTGAGTATGCTAAAAATGGCATACCAGAAGCAAAGATCCAACCTTGTTTTTTTATTTGTTGTTTTTGTAGGGTGAAACTTTCACACCAAAATGTCGGGTGAGGAAGGGTTGGAATTCTAGAGCAAAATGTTTGAACTTATCAAAGAAATTTGCAGTACATTGCTCAGCAGAAAAATCTATGGATGTGAGTACTTCAGCTTTGGTTGAAGATGTGACTGCAGAGTGCCTAAATGGTTTGTATGATCATGTTGTTCATCCTACTAGTTTGAATTTTTTTTTTTATTCTAAACTTTTAATCATTCGGTGTCAGAAGCTCACCGGCCCGATTAATCCAGATTTACGCCAGTAGTTTAAAGGGACTCCATACTCGAAATTTGAATTTAAGACTCTAGTTAAGGGAGAAGGGATCCTTTCTATCCCATTTCACCCCCTGGGCGTAATCCATTTTTATAAATTTTGGTGCTTATAGGTTTCCTCTTATTTTGCAGAAATGGATATTGAGGAGCCAAGCATTTCAACGATATTGATGAACTTTGAGAACAAATTTGATCCTTACAACGCAATGAGTACACCACTCTACCAAACAGCTACGTTTAAGCAGGTAATAATACGTCTATCTCTGCCTATTCCTTGACAAACAAACTTTGTTACTATATATTACTCTTAATTTACCATTTATCGTAACAAAATTGTTTTTTGCAGCGATATATATTATATATGATGATAAAATCATATTTTATCAATATTGAGGCTTTAAGCCTCATGTCAAAGCTGAAACTCAGTTCATTTATTAAATGAGCTCAGTAAGCTTGAGCATAAAACAAATTTTATTTGAACTGAGAGCTTCTAGCAACTTAACTCATTTACAGTCTACATTCATGTCATTCTATATTAGGTTTTTAGCTGAGTTTTCTTTCACACTCTACATTTCAGCCATCAGCACTAGGAGATGGCCCATATGATTACACCAGACATGGAAATCCAACTAGGGCTGCTTTGGAAAGGTGCGTTTGTGTGCAGAATCCTAATAAGCAGTTCTTTTCTCCATAAATTTAATTCTACTTGTACTCTTATTTCTCAGTCTCTTGGCAAAGCTAGATAAAGCAGATCGAGCACTTTGCTTTTCAAGTGGAATGGCTGCTCTAGCTGCTGCCACCCATCTTGTTGGAACTGGTACTTACTATTTTCTTTTCTGTATATAAAAGCATTCTTCTAAAGAGTCCCTTTGATTTCTCTATCGTACTTCTCCTGTGCAAAAATCTATTAGCCCTTATGGTTTTGAGAACTAACTGGTAGAACTTTCAACTCAGGTGAGGAAATTGTTGCTGGAGATGACCTTTACGGTGGTTCTGACAGGTTATTGTCACAAGTATCCCCAAAGTCCGGAATTGTTGTCAAGTTAGTATAGTTTTGTCTGTGTTCTTTTTTATCAAGATTTTGCTGCAATTAGATTTTGAAAATAATTTTGTTCAACAATATTGCGTAGACGAGTTAATACTACTAATCTAGATGAGGTTGCATCTGCAATTGGCCCCTGGACCAAACTTGTGTGGCTAGAGAGCCCAACCAACCCCCGTCAGCAAATTTCTGACATTCGCGTAAGAGTTCTCTTGCTTCTTGAAATCCATTTGTTAACAGATTCTATTTTAGGTTTATCAAAATATATACATGAATATAATTACTTTCGATTTTTCAGAAAATTGCAAAGATGGCTCATGAACAAGGTGCTCTTGTATTGGTAGATAATAGCATCATGTCCCCTGTGTTGGTGCAACCATTGGAACTTGGAGCTGCAAGGTCTGGGCCAGTAATCCCGACAGATGAGAAAAACTTAAGCTTGGGAAAAATAGTTTTCTCAGGATCAGCTAAAAGAAATCCTGGGTTATACTTAACAAGTTTAGCTATTTGGGAATTGGTGAAACCATGTTCATTGAGTAGTGCAAGGACAGAGTTTGGTCTTTCAGGAGTTAAAAAATGCACTCTCTTGGAAGCAGATATAGCAGCCTGTGGTGACAATCCACATGAATTTATGAGGTAGGAAACTGTAAAAGAGGTTTTTACCGGTTGGTTTTCATTCCTACCGATTGTTGATGAGAAAGATCTTTTAATAATAACTGGTGTACAATGAAGAAGCCGCAAATGGGTACTCAAATCAAATTGAACTATTCAAATCCAAATTTATTTAAAATATGCTTTTACTAATAATGGATAGAGTAATCATAGTACCCATCATCATATCCATTTAATATAACGGAGACCTGTATCGGTACTCACAAAATTCAACATATCTTCACCACTTTATTATCTCAATTGCATATTTAAATATTTACCCCCTTGACTTTAAACCCTAGCTTGGTAGGTTATGAATAGTAATTTCATTACCCATAACTATTCAAACTCATTTTTAACTATTTGTATCTTTATTAAATGGGTCAGAGTGGGACTGATACCGTAAAATACCCGCCATGCTTGAATTCCTAATTCTAGTTATTTTGATTTCATCATGAGCTGAAGTCTAAATTCTACAATTTAGTTCATTTTCTCCCTTCATAATTCAAAATATAAATTCAAATTGAAAATTAGGCTTTTGAGTGTTAAATGAATATATAGTATCACATCTAAAAGTACAAACTTAATTGCTTTATTTTGTAGTTTGGCAAGAGATTTGTATTTCCTACAAAATTCAGAAGGCTCAGGGTTAGCACCATTTGATTGTTGGATCTGTTTACGGGGTGTTAAGACCATGGCATTACGCGTTGAAAAACAACAGGTACTAATCCAAAATCACTCAATCTACACCACTTTCTATTGGTTTCATTTCTTTACTAATCTCTATAGATTTGTAGATTTTCTCTCAACAACAATACATTTTTTCCCTTTGCTTTTATTGCTGTCTTCCAACTTCTCCATGATAAGTTCTTTCGTGCTTTTGTATCCCTGGCAGGAAAATGCACAAAAAATTGCTGAGTTTCTTGCATCACATCCACGAGTGGAGAAAGTTAACTATGCAGGTCTTTCCGGTCATCCTGGACGTGATCTGCACTATTCTCAGGTTGGTAACACAAGTTCGATGCCTGGAATCACACTTTACGGAAGGGCCAAAAACCTTTATGTGCTAGAACTGAAGGAGATTAATTAAATATATGCCAATACATAAATTATTTTTCTTATGTAGGCAAAGGGTGCTGGTTCTGTGCTAAGCTTTTTAACAGGATCGATGCCACTCTCAAAGCACGTTGTTGAGGCTACCAAGTATTTCAGCATTACTGTCAGTTTTGGTAATAGTCCTGTCAACTCAAACAAGTTATACATAAGATATCTTCTTTAATTTCCCTAGTACTACTAAGGGTAAGCATTCGTCTCTTCGGAGCAATTACGTTAAACGCCCTTCCTAAAATACCGACTTCACGGCTCAATTTTATAGGATAGAATCTAGTGCACTTCAACCACTAGACCAAACTATCTTACGTATATAATAAGATATCTTTATTAAGTTAGATCACAATGGAAAATGTTAATAAAATCCAAAAGAGGAGAAAAACTCCGTTCACTAACATTAGACATAGAAACAAAAGCTCTTGCTAGTGAGTGAACCGTCTGGTTCGTTGACTTTCTAACAAACACAATACTACAATTCGTGAGCTCTTAATTCCATAAGGTTTTACAATCTTTGATTAAATTGCGAAATAAGACGAGTTTATAATTCACATTTCACTCTTTGTTTTTGTTATTCGTAGGGAGTGTTAAGTCCCTCATAAGCATGCCCTGCTTTATGTCCCATGCAACTATACCAGCAGAAGTACGACAAGCCAGAGGGCTTGCTGAAGATCTTGTTCGTATCTCCGTAGGAATAGAGGATGTGAATGACCTAATTGCTGATTTAGATCATGCACTAAATACCGGGCCATTTTAGGTTCAATCTTAAGTTGTCTTTGCTTTCAATTGACCAGCCAAATGACCTTTAATCATTTTTTTTTTTTCAATTATAATAATGTTCAATTCTTATGTTGTAATTGATGTGTTTTTATGGCTTAATGTGGTAGAGTACTCCAAACTTTGTAAGCTTTTGTAATTTTACTCTATTTTGACATTTTTGTTAATTTTATCCTAATTTTAATCTTTTGCGGCAAAGTACCCTCAGTTACATTAATAATAAAATTGCAAATAAAAAAGTTTTTTCATTTTTTTAATAATAAAAATAAAATTTTAAATATCAAAATATATTCATATAGATGCAGAATTTTATAAATTTAGTAATATGATATTTGAAACATGTGACATTATAATAATTAAAAAGTTATTGCTATTTATAGATTTTTTATTAAATGAATAATGATTTTATTACATTACTAATCAAAAAATTACATTAAGAATTTTTCATTATTAGAAAGTATAGATAATGAAAAATTACCCTAATTTCAATCATTTATTTCATTAAGTCAATAAAGATTTAATAGTAATTCAATAATAAATAAAAGGAATTAAATAGTGTAAATATGACAACAATTTGGTTTTAAATTGGAATTGCACCGATTAAAATTAACATGAAACTATAGTCGATGGTTCTTAGTTTCAAACCATAATCAAAACTATGTACTTGTGATTTAGTCTCGAGTTCTATTGAAATCGTAGAAATCAACAACCGTGAAAAAAAATGATCGATTATAGATTTACTTTTTATTTTATTATAAATTTTTAAATAAGTTAGTAAAAATATTTATTAAATTGATTTAATCATTTTAATATTGTTACTTGTTATTATTTATTCATGTTATAAAATCTTAGAAAATGAAAAAATTTTATTCTAAATAGAAACTAATAATTTCAAAATCATTTTAAAAACTACTTAAAAATGATTTGATTCAAATTCTACTTTTTTTTATAATTAGAATTGACGGTTTTAAAACCGTGGTCGTATACCTTTTGCAAGGCATTTGTCATTGAAAATTTGAAATTATACTTTTTGTATTAAAAAACTAAAGAATTTAATAAAATTAAATTTTAAAGATTAATGAATATATTTATCATATAAGGGGAATAAAATTATAATTATTATTAAATTTAAAGGACTAAATAAATATTTACCCATAATTGAAATAAAAAAGGAAACCCAATCCAACATGCCAATAAATTATTGGAATTTCTAACTCAACACAACAGCAATTCTACTTTGTTACAACTTCAATTTCGATTCTGCCGACTCCTCTCATTTTCTCCTCTCTTCCTTTTAATTCCTCTGGTTTTCTTCACTTAAACTACTCGATTTCTGCAATTCTTCTTGAAGGCCAAACAACGGAAATATAAGGGAAAAAAATGGTTGCAAACGAGTTCTCGATCAGCATCTAAGAATATCAGTTCTTTCTCTAATTCTTTCGTGAGATGTGAACCCTAGTCACATAGTCTGCTCAAGGAATTTTGGTAAGTTAAAATTTTAACATGGTTTCTTTATTTTCTTGAACTCGCTTTATATAGGGTTTGGCTACTGGAACATTGATTTTTCCTTTGATCGGCGATTTGGAACTAACGTTCGAGATCGCAATTCGCTATTGCGCTTGTTGATGTAGACAATTTTTAAGGAACTTTCGTTTTGAAATTTTTTCTATCATTTCTTATGTATTTGATTGAATGGCTAATCCAAGGATTTTCTCATTTGTTATTGCATCAGGTTAGACTGTTTCTTCTTCTTCACTTGATATTTTTCAAGTTAAAGCATTGGTGCTTGAACTTTGAAGATTACTGGATCATATCTAGACTGTTACAAGTGAATTGCAGTTGCTTTCTTAATTAACTTTCATTTTTGTTGGAATCTCAAGATATGTCTACTGGACCAACGAGAAGGGTATCAACCAAAGATATACAAGTGGTAAGCTGTTGAGCTATTATTTTCTTTTTGTACTTGTTGATAGCCTACTGTTCCAATTTCTGCATCTGAGCTATTTTATGCTAATTGAACGCTATTGTGGAAGTTTAACGATTGTACAATAAATATATGGGCAAAAGGCAGGAAAAAAATAGAGTTATGAGAAGAGTCTGATTTTAGTGAACCGGATAGCTTAAATACTATGGTAATATAAGGTTTTACGGCCACCTTCTTATAACTACTGTTATGTTCCGGTAAAATTAAGATAATGTTGCTGGATCACAATTGCTCTAGTTGATTTTGGTGGGAGAAGCGTGAGAATATTCAAAAAATTATGCTAAAAAACTCTTTCGCTTTATTTGTTTTACCTGCGACATTATGCCTAAAAAGGACTTTATATTTATTTAAAAAAAGACTATAAAATTAGTAGTCCATTTCCAGTTCAGAATTTTAATGAAAAAGGTTTCTGCTCACGAATCATAATGTTCCCTTTAGTGTACAGAAGAGACGCATCATTGTAACAATGTTTAAAATAAAATAAAATAAAATGAAGGGTTTTAACACCCCTACTCATATTGAATGTTTTCAGCATAGTCACTGTACCAGACTATTGTAAAATGCGCCAAATGAAATCGTATCATGTAAGAAAATCCTTTTGTTTGACCTAAGTTCATATCTAACACTAGCTTGCTAGAATAGATTTTTTTTTTTTTCTCCTGGTCCATGGATGTCTAAATAATATCGGTGGCTTATAAGTTCATAGTTGTCAAATGTTTCTTGGAGTCATGAACTTGTGAAGTTGGTAGGCGTAACTGTTTAAGGCTTTTATCTGTTCTGGTAATCTATGGTAAACATGCTTTTTATAAGAACATGTTGAAACAGAATTATGGAAGCCCCTAATGTCAACATTAGCTATGTTTCCTCTTTTTTTCCCCCCTACGTTGGATACATTTCTCAGAGGCTATGCTTCTAACAACTCTTGCACTTAAAAAGGAGTACATAGTTTAAGTGTCAAATGTGGTGTTTTCTTGAGTAGGTGGAGGAATCTAGTGAATAGAACCTTTTTTTTTTCTCTCTACATTACGTAGGATGCTCTTCATGTGAGCTATATCATAAAAAATGAACCAAAAATTTGTTTATTTTCTGTTAAAGTGTAACAGTTCAAAATTGTATGTGATTGTGATATCTTTCTGATCCTGATCTGCTGAACACAACATGCAAAATGAAGCAGTTAACAGATTAAAAAAAACTGCATATTGTTCAAAACATCATACTGTGAGTAATTTGATATTGGTAACTCATTTGCTGCTTTTGAGGCAAGTCACGTAACATTAATTTCTGCCACAAGAAATGGCAGTTTGTAACTGAGGACAGTTAGGAGGGAAAACAATCCAAGGCTCACTCTGTCTATGTTGACGGAAAACCATCTTTAGTTCCACGGAGTATCTTTATAATGGGCCATTAGCTAAAGATTGTCTCTTTACCACTTTCTTTTCACTTTTCTGTGACAAATGAAAATGAAAGGGTACTATTGTTTTTTCTTAGACATTTGATATTTTGACAGTTGCGTTCTTAATATTCTGTTTTGGCTTATTGATCTCTGGTTCCAGGTACAAAATCTTATAGAACGGTGTCTTCAATTGTACATGAACCAAAGAGAAGTTGTGGAAACATTATTAGCTCAGGCAAAGATTGAGCCGGGTTTCACTGAGCTTGGTAACAATTGATTTTTAATCTATGCTCTAATGGAAATATCATTTTGTGTATCATGTACATTTCATGGGTAAATTCCTTGCCATACTCTTTACCTGTCTTTTGTCTGCAGCCAGTGTACTGCTATTACTGAGTCATGTCTGATGTATGACTTTACTTAATTGAAGTCACAACAGATTTTTTTTTTTTTTTTCGGTGTCTTCAATTGTACATGACCAAAGAGAAGTTGTGGAAACATTTTAGCTCAGGCAAAGAATTGAGCCCGGGTTCACTGAGCTGAGGTATACAAATTTGGATTTTTAATCTATGCTTAATGGAGAATACTTCATTTTGGTGTATCATGTACATTTGCTAATGGGTAAATTCTTGCCATACGTCCTTTAACGCTGTCCTTTTGTCCTGCAGCCAGTGTATGCTATTACTTGAGTCATGTCTGATGTATGATCTTTTACTTAATTGAAGTCACAACAGATTTTTTTTTTTTTTTCTCTTGCAGTCTTCTCTCTCTCTCTTCTCTCTCTCGTCTCTCTCTCTCTCTCTCTCTCTCTCTCATGGTTTCTGTTTGCATTCAAGGCTCTCTCTCTCTCTCTCTCTCTCTCTCTCTCTCTCTCTCTCTCTCTCTCTCATGGTTCTGTTGCATTCAAGGTGCAACTGCTTTTCAAGTTACACACTTATTTTTATTCACAAATTTAGATTGAGGAGTTATTAGTGCAACAAAAATGTGATTGAACTCACTTTTTAGTCTAAATAGTAGGTCTAAATTTCTAATACCCTCTATCTACGAAAGTTAAACCTTTTAAGAAACAAGTGCCTTCCCAAGTCCGCCCTCTCTCTCTCTCTCTCTCTCTCTCTATATATATATATATATAATGATTCTGTAACATAGAAAGTGCAACTCCAAGTTGTTTCGATTTATTGACAAACTGCAACTCTGTTTTTTTTTAGTTTGGCAAAAGCTTGAAGAAGAAAATCGGGAATTCTTCAAGGCATATTACTTAAGACTAACTGTGAAGCAACAAATAATAGAATTCAACAAGCTTCTTGAGCAACAGGTGCGATTGATGCGTCAGATAAATTCAACTGGAGTTGCTTCAATGCCTACTTCTAATGGATCACACATCCCTGCAAGTAAGATGATTTTCTCACACTTGGACATTTTATCTTAATGATGTATTAATCCTTAGCTTTCTTATAAGTCAGCTGTTCATTTTCTGTCATTATTGTTAATAATGTTTGTTTAGAAAGTAGACAAAGCTTTGTGAGAGAGATTGAAGGAAAGAGGAGATGGCCCACCTAATTTTTTTTTTCTCCGTATTCAGTGAGGATGAGGATGTGTACGAGTTTCCACAGTAATTTCCTTTAATATGATTCCACAGTACGGGAGAAAATCTTGTTCTTTCTGTTTTAATAATATTACTAGGTTTACTGTCTGTTTTTGGCTTATATGTTCTCTATCCTGCCATATCTCTTCAACATGGGGCTTTGTATTAAGATGTTCTCACACTATTAACTGCTATTGCATATTTACAGTCTGTTATTTTTATAATAACATTAATACATCAATAATCATAGAGCTTCTAATCATGACTTTTCTCATTGGATATCATTGGTATGGCTATTTACCCTACTTCAAGATAGAGTTGTGAAACGGTTGAATAATTTTGTGACTTTTTGGTTGCTTCTGTGGTTCTCTTTCTCTCTCTCTCTCTCTCTGGAAGAAGTTCTTAGGACTTGTTTCTCAACTTGTTCCCCTATATATAACTTTTTCCTATAGAAAAACAGAAACCAAAAACAAAATGGAAATGATACCAAAGATTCCTCAGTTGAATTACTATCATTGTTCATTTAGTGCCTATATATTTTACTATTACTCTCAACCTGTTATTAGTATATTGACTCCATGGAAAATGATTGTACTTCCACACAGTGCACCAGAATTCTGCATGCTATGCCCCAGAGCATGCAGGACCTTCTCTGAAGCCAGAGAACATGCATCATCCTTTTGGTTCCAGTATGACTCATGCATTCACCAATGGTGGATCAGCGCTGCACTCAAGTATGCACACTGCTGTTGAAATGTCTGCTCATGCCAATAGAATTGATGCCCCTCTGAACATGCTTTCAACGCAGAGCTCAAACATGGGTTTGATGCAAGGATTAAATGGTGGAATGATCAAATCTGAAGCTGGATATTCCGGCACTTCCCCTTATATGTTTGGCAGTGATGGCAATGTCCTGGAAGCACGCCCATCAATTGCAGATGCATCTGTTGCTTCTTTCAGCAGTGTAGAGTCTAATTCACAAGCTCTGAACGAGCCACTTTTGGATGCGGACACTTCTTCATATGGATTTTTGGGCCAGATTCCCCGAAACTTCAGTCTATCTGATTTGACAGCTGATTTTGCTCAGAGTTCAGGTTTATCTCTTCTCTCTCCGCCTGTGTGTGCATGTGAACCAGAGCACTGTCCTCATAATGGGGGCATGTTCTGCTTTTATTTCTTTCTTGTATTTTCCTTCTATCTTTTTCCTGTTGTTTTTTCTGAAACTCCAAGTCCCTATCCCTCCTGCTTACCATTATATTTTGTAGTTGATTGACTGCAATGTTAGCCCATACGTGTATGAGCAAAGTTATGATACCTTCATGCCTGCATTCATGTGAATTTTAAGTATGCTGATAGCAACTTAGAATTCAGTTCGTTTATATTTAAATTTAATTCCGGGCTTTAAAATTTTCAGATATATTGGAGAATTATCCAAGATCACCCTTTCTAGCATCAGACAATGAAAACTTTCTAGATTCTCGTGAAAGAGAACATCAAGGTTAATATTTTCTGCTATTTTTCGATAAAGCTTTAGTGTGATACAAAGTATGAAGGTAATTTGGCGTCCTGGCCTTACAGGAGACAGTAAAAGGTTGGACACTATATCAGAAGGTGTGAGCTATGATGAGTTTGGAAGTGAATAACAATGAAATTTCAGTGGTAAGTTCTTTGTGCTAATTCATTTTTTCTTTAATGTATAGCATATCAAGCGAAAAATTTCATTTTCAAACAACTTCTATTTCTCAAATGAAGTATTGATTCAAGGTGAATGCCATCAAACAATGGTGAGAATTTGCAGTACTTTTTCACTCTTCAATGCATTTTTTAGCTCTACGCCTCTTCATCGTATAGATTATGGTAGCACTTAAACCCCCTGCCTCTTCTTTTTTCTTTTTTTGTCTATTTTTTTATTTTTAATTGGGTTTGCTCTTTTCTAATGTAGATCCAACTGCACCCCTTGCCAGGGGTTTGTATATAGCATTTTAGAGGGGAAAAAGCTTCAGATGTGTAGAACTCTAAGGAGATTGGTGTGTAAAATTTCACTGACTACAGTTTGTAGTATATGACACTTTGACATTAGGATTTTTTAGGGTTAAAAAAAGGATCAAATAATGCAACAGGTATCCCTGTTTCATTTTTTTTTTTTTTCCTTTCAAAATTATGACGCTATCATCGAATGATTTTTATTATTATCTTGTTGAGGAAAGTGAAAACATTTTTGTGTGGTGGTAATGCAGTTATTATGTTAATATTGGAAATTATGCTTCCATTTGAAATGAGATTGTGACACTTCATGGGATTAAACTTTCATATGCAATAATCTGCATTGAAGCCATCTATGATGCGTGGAAACTTCTAGCCATGGGCGTTTCCGCGTGTCAGAAATGTTTCCACATGCCGGTTTCCTCATATAAAATACAGTTTCTGTGTAAAATTATATTTTAAATATCATTTTTATGTATCATTTTCACGTCTCCACATTTCTTCGTTTTTGTTTCCGTGCAGCATAGGAATCCATACTCAAAATATATTATGCATGGTAGATTGTCCATCTTTAATGTACAGTTGGTAAGTTTTCTTTAAAATAGTATGTTTATGGTTGGTTACTAGTTTGATTTTTTGAGACCTTAACTTGCATTATGGGGTAATAGCTCTGTCTTTATCACTCAGGCATATTTTAGAAAATTTATTATTTTCCTTGTATAATGAGATTCCCACTATGATTTTGGTTGAATGATATCGATTCAGTTGTAAAAGAGTTTGCTTGTTGACTTTCTAAAGTTATATTTTGGAAGGTGTTGAAAGAGGGACTTGGTCTTGATAGATAGGTATATTGGCTTGAAAATGCCATTGATAAATTTTATGAAGAAAAAAAAATGGATTTTTTTTTTTTTTAATAATTAGGCCTATGTTAATTATGAACTTTGCAATTCATGTGTTTCATATATATAAAAATTCATTGAATTCCAGCATAAATAACATTCTGAGATTGTTAGAATCAAATTAAATTTGTAAAAATAATAAGACAAGGTTGTAACCCCAAAAAAACGAAAAGACTGGGTGACGAACAAATGGCAACTAGATGCATTATCAAATAGAATAAAACTAATACGATTAGGTTAAATGGTTTAAAAAAACTAAATTTCAAAAATTAAACAGTATATTTATTGAACAAAAGGTTCAAGTGCCTAAAGATTGTGGTTCAATTAGCAACACAATCTGGATGTGTAAAAAATGTTCTTTGGGTTTGAATCCGACTAGATGCATTTTAATTTCGGCTAAACACACTTGCAGAGAGAGTAAAAATTAAATTTTGAAGCGGATTAAGTAGCCTGGGGTTGAACACTGGTGTTACACCCAAAAAAAAAAAAAAACCAAAAAAAAAAAAAAAAAAAAAAAAAAAAAACTTCGCAGCAGAGAGTAAAATTAAATTTTGAAAGGCGGATTAAGTAGCCTGGGGTTGAAGCAACTGGTGTACACCCAAAAAAAAAAAAACCAATAAAAAAAAAAAAAAAAAAAAAAAAAAAGAGCCCCAATGAAGCACCCAAATTATGAGAATTCATGCATATGCTTTTGGAGTGGAATGTGAAGTATATGTTATCATCATATTGCTTCTCATTCTTGTTTAATGCTTTGGCAATCCTTGTCTTAATTTTTTTTTCTCCTAAATTAATCATATAAATTGCAATCTAGCTTTATACTATTGTTTAATTACTGTCTCTTATGAAGTTTGAAGGAATATATTATTATTATTATTATTATTATTATTACTATTTTATCAAACAAATATTATTATCATTACTCAAATTATAAACTAGTTGGTAATGGCATCACATTTGGATTCCAATTATCTTCAATTTGACTAATTATTAGTTGGGCTAATGAGATTATATTATAAAAAAAAAAGAAAAGAAAAGAAAAGAAAAGATATCAGAATTACATATAAAAAAGGAAAAGAAATAATTTGAAAAAAAAAAAAAGATACAAAGATTTAATTAGACAACAGTAGTGATGTCATTGTATCTGGGTCTTCTTCTATCTGGAGAAATTCCTTCTTCCATGGCCTTTCTTTTGTGATTGTTGGGTGGTGGTGGCGGCGGTGGTGGTGGTGTTTGTAAGAGTGGTGGCGGTGGTGGTGGTTGCGGTTGTTTCTGCTGTTGTGATTGATGAATCGCTGATCTTTCTAGTTCTAGTTCTAATTCTTGATTTTCTTGTTCTTGGTTCTTGATTTTAGTTTTCAACATATGAGGTGTAAGCTTTTTCAAATCTGATAGTTGTACTGGCTTTAAGAAAAATTCCTCTGCTCCTTCCTCTAAACATCTGTTATGGCAAAAACATATATTTAACCACTAGTCAGTTAATTGCCTCAAAACCCAGATTATAGATTCCTTAACTTTCCCAAAAAGAGCAAAAAACAAATCTAAATTTATCTTTTGTTTATTTATTTATTTATTACCTTGTGATTCTTGAAGGAACATTCTCAGATGACATTATCACTACTGGTATGTTCTTCAAAGATGATGATTCCTGCAAAATCAGAGATAAAGGCTCAATTTTCTCCTATCTTTCTTTTTTCTGTGCATAAAAAAAAGAAAAATGGTTTCCAAGAAAATTACATTTTTGCTTTTGTGACATTGTTAAAAGAAAGTTCCCATTTGATTGAATAAGTCCAAGTAAATCTTTCAATATCTTGAGCTTGATTTCTTAAGATTTGAAATAGATGGAAAATATATTCCAAAGCTATTTTTTCAGCTGACATTCTCTAACAGGTGGGCAAAAAATAGAATCTAGCAAGACAACTAAAAAGAACTTGGACGTGAAAATTTTCATTCTAGAAAGGAAATTCAAAGAATTAAAACTTCCAGTAGGGGAAAAAGATTTGAAAAAACAAAGAAAAAGAGAATATAATTATAGCAGGTAACAGAGACAGGAGAATAGAAAACAAAAAAAGCTTACCTTTATTTTCTTAAGTAAATCATAGCCTGTCATGCCAGGCATACAGTAATCTGTAATAATAAGATTCACTTCCACTTCCTATGAAACCAAGGAAAAAAATAAACAAAATGAGAAGATTTCAAAAACCCAGAAAGAAAATTTAGGAAATTTATCATTAAAGATGACAAATTCTTGACATTGATGCATTCAAGTAAATTAAAATTAAAAATACCTGATGATTGTTTGGAGAAACAGAAGGTGTTTCGGAGTTGCTTTGGTCATCTTCATTTAAACCAAGAAATTGTAAAGCTTTACTACCAGAATCAACCGTAGTAACTGTAATAGCACAATAAAATGCAAGAAACAATAAGACCCATGATAGAAAATTTTTTTCTTTATTTTACTTTTTCTGTTTGGTAGCCAAGAAAATAATAATAATACCTTGATATGAAGAGATCTTGAGAAGTCTCTCAATAAGCTTTCTGTCTAATAAGCTGTCATCAACAGCTAAAACATGAAATTTGGACTCCGTTGCTGTGGACATTGCAAGAAGATTGAAAAAAAATGATCCAAGATGCAATTCTTGTAAGAAGAAAAGAAAGAAGATGTACAGATATGATTAAGAAAACAAGAAAGCTTTTGTTGGTTTGGAAATTTGTGGGTTCCTGTTTTTCCTACAAGAAAATGAAGAAGGCAAGGCAAGGAGAAGAAGAGAAAGGGAGAGGCTTTTTTTAGCACCCAAGAAAATCCACACCCCACAAAGCAAGATCCGACCAGATTTCTTTTCCAAATCTTGCAAATTTTCCAAGAGGATTTTTCTTTTTCTTTTTTTTTTTTTTTTTTTTCTTTTCCAAATTTTCTTGCAAATTTTTCAAGAGGATTTTTCACTTTTTCTTTTTTTTTTTTTTTTTTTTTGAATTGAATTAACACGAGCAAGCAAGGAAAAAATTTTTTTTTTTTTTTTTTTTTTTGAATTGAATTACAGAGCAAGCAAGGGAAGAAAAAAAAAAAGAGAAAACAGAAGAACCAAATAATAAAAGAATAAAATAAAGAAAACAAATCTTTATGGGAAATATTTAAGGAAAGAAGGTGGAGGTGGGTTTTATTTATATATTGCTATATGTATGTATGAGTACAACAACTTAAACAGGTTAGTGTATGTAATATATATTGGAATGTAAAAAGAAAAAGAAAAATAGAGCAAGTTTTGGATGAAAGCAAAAGGAAAAGAAAGGAGGGGCCCATCAAAATCCCCTTAAGAGATACAGGTGATGTCAGCAGAGGTGCCTTTTTCTCCCTAATGTGAAATCATGTGGCGCTTACCATATCTTGAGCAGGTGGGGAGTGGTGGTGGGCAAGGAGAGGCCTATTTTCTCTCTTGATTCCCTTTTAAGATTTGCTTCCCATGCCCATACATAACATAACCATTAATCATCTCATGTCACATACCATATCATACATGCATGCAACTTTACCAAACTCTTAATCAATAAATTTAAGCTTATTATTTGGTCGATCATCTTTGTGGCCCTTGGATATAATTTTATATTTTTACATTTCGATAATAATTATATGTCTTGCTAAAATGAAATGTGAAAGCGTAAGGTTTTGATTAAATCCTTATAAAGATATTTTATTTTAGTAAGGAGTATGGTTATTTTGTGAAGTAAATCACTTTTAACTTTATCAAATTTATATATTTCAGCTCAAGGAATGTTATATGATCTCAATTCCAACGTAATATTCTGAAAGCCGACTAATCCGAATTTGAATTCTAAAGCCGACTAATCCAAATTCGAATTCTGTAGAGTCTTATTATGGGACTGACCCTTCTACTCCAGTTTTCTCCATTCTTAACACCAATATTTTAATCTCGGATGTTGTTTAAGAGATCTGGTGCCTCATCTCACTCGACCAACTAATAATTAGTGATAACATTATTTTTCTATTCAAACATTATTTCTCTTATTTACATTTTTATAACTATCACTAACTATGATGGAATTTAAAATTCCACGATTCATGAAGTTTACTTTCAAAATCCATAAATTTTGTATTTCATTAATCCAAACAAGTACTTATTATTTTTAAAAAAATAACTTGCTAGCTTTTACATGTTATAATAGTTAACAAGTTATTATGCATTTCTCTCATCTAGAAAATCACACTTTTTGCTCTAAGTGTTGCATTTGTTTGGTGGAAATTATATTGACTTTAGGTAAACTTAAAATGAAAACAAATATCATTTTATTAGAAATTTGGTATTTGTTTCATTGAGTTTGGATATTTCTATTTGCTATTGTGCCAATAATTGTAGGAATATTACATTTGGCATAGGCTTTTTCTGATCAAAATCTTTATAAATGATTTCTCATTACAATTTGATTGGAAAAGATAGGAATATCCTTTGAAAAAATGTATTTGATGTTTTAGCTAATTCAATACTTGTAAAAGACAACATATAAACTGCCAATAGGTATAGTATGATTAGTCTTCCTATATCTCATAATAGATGTGGGGAGTGAGAGGTCGTAAGTTTGAGTTCTCTTTACGATCACAAAGTTATCACTAATTTGATGAATGTTATTCCGGTCTGTTAAGCTTCAATTTTTTTAATAATAAAAACACGGATATTTTTCAAATTACATAACAATTTTTTAAAGAGAGTTAGATATTAAAATTTATACTATTTTTTTACTATGACATATAGACATTCAGTGATCTAGATGAATAAACAATAACAATGTCATCATTATCTCTCATAAATATTTAAAGAGATTCCATCTATAAGGCTAAAATTCGAGTTCTCACTTAAAGAAACAGGAATCTGTACCGCCTCATCTCATCTAAAATAAAAAAGAAAATCATTATTTAATTTATCTTGAAAAAGTCAATCATATCTATCATCTTTCTTTCCATAAAATTAAGTAAAAATTTCCACCCAATCACAAAGAAATTGACCCATTTTTTACCTAGAACTTTCATCAATTTGAAATTGAATATTATTAGATATTATTTAAGAAATTTACTTAAAGAAGATCTCATAGCCCCATTCCAGATTCTATTGTTGAAACTTGGTTTCTTTTCTCATAATAGTCTTCTTGAATGTAAATTTTCTTCAAGATTATCATCATTAAATAGGTCAAAGAATCATACATATAGATTGACCCTCTAGAATATTGTTTGTGAAGCATAAGCTAAATATGTCTAACCTTTGTCAAATATAATCTTTATGATTAAGACCTTAAATATTGTCTAAGTAGTTGTATAATGTTTGTAGTAGAAGATGATATAAAGGTTATCTCATTGAGAAGTAAAAAGGGGGGAAAAAGAAAGAGGAAGCAAAGTTTGATGGGCCATTCCAAGACTAATTAGTATTACAAGTGTAATTAATTTATGGTCCTCAACTTTTCTTTATTGCTCAATTGATCCTCTAAAAGTTTTGACAATGCGCTTTAACTTTCTTGAAGATTGGATTCTTTCTATAATTGCTCTCCCATTGCTTTTCAAAAAGGTTATTTCTGTTTCAACAGTTTTGTCAAACAACTAATGCACTCAAACCAAGATTAATTGAATTGAGTTAGTGATTGATTGATTTATTTATTACTATTTTAATAAAAAAAAAGATATTTTAATATCCGAGTTACAGCTAACTTAATACGTAATTTCTATTTTAAAAATTAACTATGAAATCTCTAAATTAGGTGTGAGAAAACGGTAATTGAACCGAACTAAGGCTAAAAATATAAAATCAAAATTTTTATGAGAACTGAATCGAATTGAAATTGATATTTGAACCGGATTGAATACTGGTTCAGTCGATTTTGATCAGTTTTTAACATTTTAGGTCTGTTTAAGTTTAACCGATCGGTTTCTACAAAATCGAGCTGAACCATCAATAATTTTAATTCAAATCGACAAAATCGAATTCCTTTTGAGTGGGATGACTAATCCGAACTAAAATAAGTTGATTTGATTATTAATTTGGTTGGGTAGGATGTTTTGCATATCCCTACTCTAAATTATGATTTTATTAGCATTTTAGTCATTTCGCCCAAAATATTGATGGAAATAATAAGAAAAGTTTCAAAATATCAACATAAAATCAAAAGTTAGGGATCTTATAATTATTTCGTTATTGTATATATATCAATTTTTTAATCAATTAACGGTTAAAAGATGTTATTTTAAATAGAACAAGCAACTTGTTAAACAGCTAATGTACTCAAACCAAGGTTAACTTGATTGAGCTAGTGAGTGATTGGTTTAGTATGTTAATAATTTCTCTTCTTGATTTTACTTAAAGATACATAAAAATTCTTGATTTTAAACTTCAACCGGTGTAGTATAGCTGCCCTTTCCTCCCCTCAAACCCTTCAAGCCTCCTCCTCCTCCCCCTTTTTTTTTCAACCACTTAAGGTTTATTTGGCAAAATTTAGTTGTTTTGGTAACCGTAACTGTTTTAATAGCGTTTACCTATTAACTGTTCGAGTAACTTTTCATGAAACGCTAAAAGTTAAACGTTAAACAAGTTAATTTTTTGGAAAATGTTATATTGACATCTTAAAATTAGTTCAAACGTTATGTTATTAAATATTGTAAAAAATAACTTTTAGCGTTTTGACCGGTTAAAATACTAAAAACTACTTAAAAAGTTGTTGTTGAATACAACTTCAATCTAACTTACAAGTGAAAAGCTCACTAGCCAAGGGTTGCTGGTTATTGGATAACCCATATCTTTTTTTAAAATAATATTAGTAAAGTTTTAAAAATTTATAATACATAAATTCAAAAATTATAAATGAAGAGTCTATAAGTTTGCTATGATAATGTTTTTTTTTTAGTACCTTCTAAATTTCAAAGTTATTTCATGCATTGTAAATTTCAAATATGATTATCAAAGTAACTATAAAAATTCAAATAAAATTATAAATTATTAAAACAAGGTACTGAAAAATAAATAAAAACTAAATTTGAAAACAAAATTTTGAAAACAAAATTCAAAGATTCATTTACCTTGAGAAAAAATTAAGATCATGATGGTTATTAAATTAAATAAAACGGATTCAATCACAAAAATAATAATAGTCGAGATGGAACTGTTTCGTAGAGAGTTTAAGTGAATCTGTCAAAATAAATAGGAATGAGATTTTAAATTTATAGCCAAGAATAGAGCCGTTAGATTCAACCACCCGAGAGATTTTCAGTTAATCCCATTGAACTGAAAGTATCTACTTAGTTGAAAATCACATATAAATTCTTAGCTAATTACAATTAGATCCCCATTTCAAATATAATCTATCAAAATTATTTTTTTAATATTTCTCTTGCATTTATGTTAGAATCGAGTTTAATTGTACTAGGAAACAAAATCTTTTTTTTTTTTTTGAAAAAAAAAAAAATTGTACTAGGAAACAAAATCTTTTTTTTTTTTTTGTTTTTTTTTTTTTTGAAAAAAAAAAAAAGATATTCTTCCGTGTGTGACAAAATAGAAATGACTATCAAAGGGAGAAGGAAAAAAAAAATTCAAATAATCAACGTAGTTGGTGTGGATTTTTAATTTTTTTATCCCAAGTTTTCAAAATAAATAATTAAAAAACAAAAAGAGGATAAACACAAGCCTGGATAAAGTTAAATCATATAAATAAATAGTACAAGTTAAGTATCTAGCATGAATTTAAAGCGGAACACCCCATATTTTATAGGTTAAATATATAAATTTATTTTTATATTTTTTTAAAAAAATTTATAACAGCTTTAATTTTTAATTAAACTCATTTAAAATTTCATTTAAATTGTATTTAGTAAAAAATTTTATTTTATAAAGTAATTTTATTAACG